AAAAAAAAAAGAGAGACAGCAGCTTTTGTTTTATACCTTCGTTAGTTCATGTCACCCAAATGTCACTCTTGCCATTAAATCCTGTATATACTAAGCCTAAACACTATTCATGTGCACATGAGAGTGGATTAATGTCTGCAAGTTTCCCTCCACAACTTCCGCAATGGCTCCAAAAAGGCTCATAAATAGGCCTGTGATAGGCATTGAAAATGTCCTCCTTATGGATCGAATTCTTCATCTTGGTAACAATAAGTGAAAAGATCCATAAATACAGTTTTAATTAACAGCAACGTTGAGGTGTTTAGAAATAGACTGTAGGCTCTTTGAATCTGTTGGCCTTCTCATAAAGAATTTTGTTTTTCCCAGAGGGTCAAAATTAATTAATGTCCTTACAATTTATTTAGCGGCCCATTTTTTCAGAGATACCTACACAAGTTCAGTGAGCCGTATCAGGGTAGCAAGGATGATATAATCGGACTGCTTTGAAGAGAGTACTCTGTAAAAATATACTGTCTCAAGTAGTGATTAATTAACAGGGAGGATAATAAAGTATTCTGTCAGAATGATTACTTTTATCTGTGGACAACATTACTTGTATACAATATTGCATAATGACCAGATTCAAAACTTTTCATGTGGACTTTCATGAACTCACACAAGCTATAAAAGTTCAAAAAAGATTATGCAGCCATTAATAGTCTTTAGCTGTTCCATTAAAAGGTATCAATTGAGCACTCATGTTTGTCTCATTGAACAATGCACAGAACATTTCCCACATCCAATGATTATATACTTTTATCTTTTCCTAAACTGAGCCTACTATACTTTTGTACCATTAGTAGTATTATACGGGCAGACGTGCTCTGTAGTTTCCAAATACTGTCTTAAGATAAGGAAAGATTGCTGCAGATGTTATCAGGAGACCTCACAGACATTGCATCTAAATGTGACTGTTGAGATCTTAGCAGCAAAAATGAAAATTGGTTTATTTCTCATAAATTCTCAAGAAAGAAAAGTATTTATCCTCAGGAACTATCATAAAAGTAAAAAAAAAATTTCATCTAAATGTATTTTCACTGTTGTGATGTTTACTACAGTGAAAGTGTTAGGAAATAATTTAAGAGTTTACCCTTAGATAATTTTTATAAATTATGCTATATCCAAAAAGTAGAATATCATGTTAAAAATATTTCATAACATATAAACTTGGTCATAGTATATTTATCAAATTACTGAATCTAATGGAAACCTATTTTTATTTGAAAATGTGTGAATCAAGAAAGAATGGCAAGATATACAAATATAAAGCTTACAGATGATTATATCACTCTATTGAGATTACTAGAGAAGTTTTTTTCTTTTTTCTGCTTATTTATACATTTAAATGTTTAGGAAAAGATGTATTACTTAGTGATGTAAAATTGATGAAAAGAAATATTGAAGAAAAAAATCAATATTAAGAGAGCAAAAAGATCATTGTTCAGGGTTTTTCCATGGTAAAACTTAAAAATACCCACCACAGTTTCCACAAACACATGTAGGTGCTACCATCATGTATGTTAGATTTTCTTTTGAGGTGCAATTCCTGTTTTACTTATTTTCTTTTTATTTTTAGATTTATTCTCCCTCTCCTCTACTCCAACCTTATCACTCATCCAAGTAATCCAGGCTAATAAACCCATATATCCTTTTTTTTATCTTTCTCTCCATGCTCACATAGTTATTCATAGAGATACCTATGTAGAGTTATACATGTGCACACATAAGGGGGCATTAGTCATTTTTTTAGAAAAAAAATGGACCATACTATAGAATCATTTTGTGTATTGCTTTATGCCTTTAATAATATGTTTTGGGGGGGGGTGGCTGGATGGCTCAGTTGGTTAAGTGTCTGCCTTTGGCTCAGGTCATGATCTCAGGGTCCTGGGATCAAGTCCCGCATCAGACTCCTTGCTCAGCGGGGAGCCTGCTTCTCCCTCTCCCTCTGCAGCTCCCTCTGCTTGTGCTTTCTCTCTCTCTCTCTCAAATAAATAAAATCCTAAACCATTATGTTTTGGAAATCCCTACAAATTAACTGTATAGTGCTAAACTTTCTCTTTTTAGTGGCTGCATGATATTACATGCTTTGGATTTAACAAGTTACACTGCCTCCAGGCTGTTCCTCTAGGTTCCCAAACGGGGGCGACGTTGTCCCCCAGGGATAGCTGGCAATTTTTAAAGACCTTTTGAGTTGTCAATAGCAGGGAGATGAACGCTATTGGTATCTAGTGGCTAGAGGCCAGGAAGATGGCCAAACATCATACAGGACAGCACCACAGTAATTCATTAGATCACCTAAAACATCACTCGGGGCCTGGGGCACACCCATCGGGCATACTCTGATCTCAGGGCATTTGGCACTGGCCCTCCCTCTGACCGCAATACTCTTGCTTAGGAATCCAAAAGGCTCACTAGTCACCTCCTTCAAGTCTTTTTTGAATGGCATTTTCTCACCACAGCCTAACTGACCAGCCTAGAAACTGTAATCCTTCCCTAACCATCCATATGCCTTCTCAATCCTACTTACTCTATTCCTTTTTCCACTCAACTTCTAATGGACCACATACTTTATTTACTTACCATGTTGATTCAATTAGCTTTTTCCTCCTTCTAGAATATGAACTCCACTGTGGCAATTGTGTTTTACTCACTAATGTATCCCCAGCACCTAGAACAGTGCCCAGCATTCAACAGGCCAATGAATGAATGAACAAGGGAACAAATAAATGATTGTATGCATGAGGGACATTCATTTTATTTCCAATTATTTTCAACTACAAACAATGCTGAGGTAAATATCTTTATACATACATGCTTATGTGGTGGTCCTTTTATTTCTGTATGGTCAGAATGCTTTCCAAAATGGAAAATTTCCCATAACCATGGATGAGTATCCTTCTCTAGCTACCTGCTCTCCATTTCTCAGCCATCTATTGGTGGCTTTTGAAAACCTTTCCCCATCTTTTTATTTTGATTTATATTTTTCTGATGACTTGTGGAATTGAGCATCATTTTATATTTTGTTGATTACTTGAATTTGATCATCTGTGAATGAGTTATACAGATCTTTCCTGTTTGTTAAAATTTTCATCTCCAGTTAGCCTCTAAGAGTTATCTATATGTACCCTACTTGTAATTGACACACAAAAAATGTTTTTCTAACCTACTGTTTGCCTGTTGATTTTGCTTATGGAATTTTTAGGCCACAGCTATAATTTTTCACCATCAAATATGTGCATCTTTTCTTTTGCAGCTTCTGAGCTTTTGGAAGTGAGATCATGTCTTTACATTGCACATAGTTTACCCTCTGTTTTCTTGCAAGAATTTTATTGTTTTTACTTGTTGCATTTAAGTCTTTAATCCATCCGAATATATTTCTGTATATAAAATACACAAAAGTAAAACTGGGGCTTAATGTCATTTCATTTCAGGTATATAACCAGATATGCCACACCATACTAATAAAGACTATATCTTTTTCCCCCTTGAATTGATCTCTGTTATATATTAAATCCTCCTAATTACTGACCTCAGTGTCTTGATTCCCTATCCGGTTCCATTAACCTCTAATCTTGTATATACTAACTTCATGCTTTAAACAAAACAAAAAAACTCAAACCACTCTTGGTGAGGAAGAGGAAATACAATTTGACAGGTCAAAAGGAGTAAGAATACTCAATCTGGAGATGCATGAGGGGCCAACTTTCAAACAAAACTGAACACGTAGGCTGTAATTGAACGTCATGATGTTTTCAATCTGCCTGAATACATAAATAATACAAGTATTCTTCTCTTTTTGCTAGTCATAAAAATGGCTGAGACAATCTTGCATACTTTTCCTTTGAAAAGTCATTTTATTTAATTCCATTATAATCTTGTTCTTTTTCTTCATGCCTATGCTTCAACTGTTTTGAGTGATGTTGTATTAGAGTTCTCCAGAGAAGCAGAACCAATAAAATGTGTATGAATCTAGAAAGACATTTACATACGGAGTTGGCTCATGTGACTGCAGAGGCTGGTAAGCCCCTAATCCGCAGTGTGGGCTGACGGGCTGGAGATGAGGAAAACCAACAGGGCAGATGAAGTCCGAATGCATCCTTGGGGGGAATTAATTACCTCTTGCTCAGGGAGACCAGTCTTTTTTGTTCCATTTAGGCTTTCAACTGATTGGATGAGCCCCCTCACCCCACCCCCACATTATGGAGGGCAATCTACTCAAAGTTCACTGATTTAAATGTTAACCTCATCCAAAGACACCCCCAAACTGACACGTAAAAGTAACCAACACAAATATCTCAGGTTATTTTTTTTTTAATCCCTAAGAAAAGCTAGATTTTATCCCTAAGAAAATTTGTCTCTAAAATGACTTTTTATCCCTAACAAAAGTTAGATTCCTAAGGTAGGGGGGAGGGAAGTGCTCAGTAGGCAAGACTTCAGGGTAAAAGTAAGTAAGAATACAAGCTTACTTCTGCTCGACCTTATTACCTGTAAGACCATTACGGATTCCATTAATTTCAAATCACAAGGAAGGAGGCAAACCCTGTCAAGAGTTTGTTGATGTTCATTCCTTCCATCACCACTTACCTTTTACATTTCGGCCCCTACACTTCAGAGGGACTGGAACAACACTGGTGGCCAGCTGCTGGACACTGTGACTGCAAGAGAACTCATCACTGCTAACTTCTGCCTACTGCATGCATTCACCTGAATGTCCCCTACTTGTTGAGTAAATAAAATCTGTGAGTCTCTTAAAACAGGAGTCGTGGATTTCCTTGCTGTAGTAGCAATGTCAGTTCTGGGTCTATTCAATAATTCAGAGGTTACAAAGAAGGATTAACTCTCTTTTCATGAAGCCTATTCAGCTCTACCCACACACAGACACAAGGAATGCTCTCTGATATTCACTCAAATGGTTAAGCCAGGGGTGCATTACTTAGCCTGGGAATCTCTGCTAGACTTACCTGGGGTGTGATCAATGTCTGGACTAGATGTTTCGACAGGAATTCTGGTGCCAATGGCCCAGTCCAAGTCATCTTGAGAGTCCTGAGTAAGACCGCAGGCTGTGGTCCAGTTTCCTGAAGTTTCAAAATTGCAACTTCCTGCTGTGCTTGTATAATGGCCTAAGGAAATGAAGATAGTAATAGAATGTTCTGGAAATGTACATTACACTTGGTATTATACTACATTTGTGATTGTTCAGAATCAGTGCCTGCCTATTTTAATTACTTATTAATAAATTTAAAGAACCAGGACATTTGCATCCATTGGTAATTTCAATTGTACACTGTAGCTTTTTTTTTTATCAGAAAATCTAGAGGCAGCACATGAATATTGTCATTTATCCATGAAGAAGTTGTATGGATTGACTAATAATATTATAGATGATAGATAAAACTGCATCTACACATGAGCAATTAACATAATATTATGATAATACAGATAAGTCAGATCGAATAAATCAACAGCTTCAGTTGTCTGGAAGTTTAATTCAGTCCCTGTGTTCATGCTGGTGTTTGAACAGCATAGACCATTAGAAGGGCAAAGTCATTAACTAAAAAAAAAGGTACCTTTGGAGAAGTAGTAAACGGCAGAGGACACAAACCTTCTCAGCACACCATACTAACCAACCGCATACAACATTTCAGAGCTAGTCACTAAATACTGAAAAAAAGTTCTAAGTGCTGACTGATAACTCATTAAAAGTTAAGTTATTCATAATGAGAAAAATTACCAGATAATAGCTGAAAGTCTACTACTTAGTCATCTGTGAAAACTACCATCATAATACAACTGATATCTGCTTTCACTTTAATTTTTTTTTGCAGAGCAGTTATTATTTTTGAGCATTCACTGTAAAACTGTATTGTACAGACAGAATGATTGTGTGATTTAACCAGCATGAATCAATTGAAATTGTTATTGACTTTTCCTTCCTTTTTAGAGAGGTGACATTTATGTTGCTTTTAATATTTCTTTTCCAGATGGTTCCCCGTTCATAACTTCTTCTTAACGTAAAACTAATACTAGCATAAAGAAATTGCATCAGAAGAAAATCTTGCTGTTAAAATGGATGCCAAACATATCGAAAACAAAGCTTTAAATAATTCTATAGAAAATCTTCTGGATTCCTGACAATATTTTCATTAAATATCAGTATTTCGCTTCTCAGGCATGATTGCATCTTATCCCTAAAATCTAGAATCATTTTTAATTATATGCATTTCTTGCATTCATTCGACATGGCATATAATGCATTTAATTTTATATGCTTATTTATGGGCTCTCTATATCCCCTCCTTAAGTTTATCTTTTTCGTATCATGATATAAATAAGTTTATACTATGCTATGCAATATGGCTAAAAGAAATCTAGTTCTCTAAGTGTTTAGCTAACACAACTGCAAACATGCAGAATCTTCCAATATAAACACAAAACAGCCATTATGTGTTCTTTAGAATGATGTCACATACAGGTTTTGCACTATTGCATTTCTACATAACTGACTCCCTAACACACAGGACCTACAATAATTATTCTATATCCTTTCTGATTCTCTGTAAACAGCCTTGAACCTTCTGTTCCACCTTATCTAACATGATTTTATGTATGACTCTAAAGATACAGATACAATCAGGATAAATTCTCTTATATTTCATTCTTTCTACCTCTAAATTATGTCATTTTTCCTTTCTCTTCTCTAGGGCTAGTCCCAGTTTATGATCTCAGCACCTTATCAAGCATTCTATAGCTACTAGCATTCGATGGCTCCATTAATTTCAGTTAGAGAGCTTTTCCAGGTCCTTCAATCTCACATTTTCTACCAATTCCTTTCTTACAAGTTGCAGACATAGCCAGGGTGCCCCTCTTGATTGAATTTTATATGCTTAAATTTCTCACTCTGTATAGCTTTCACTCATCCTTTCCCATGGTCCTTCACACTTTAATGCAGATGGCCTACAAATCTACAGCCAGGATGGAATACAGGTGTTTATCTTCAAATGCTTGTTGAATACCCCACTTAGAATATGCAACTGTCGTCACAAAATCAAAAAGCCTAAAATGAACTCATCGTTCACCTCTCCAAATGAGTTCTTCTCCCTGGGATTATTGATTAAGTTCAGAGCATGAATCTTCTCTCTCTTTTTAAAATTCTACCTTTGGACTTATCTTTGGTTCTGCATTCCTCATTCCCATATTCAATCTATTACCAACACCTGTAGATTCTCTCTTTGAGAACTTAACTCTCTCCTTCCCTTGAAGTTTATAACCCCTGTTCCAGTTCCATTGGACCAAGCCCCTGGTTTATTTTAAGAGTCTATTTTTTTTTCAAGTAGCCTTCATTGATCAGCTTTACAAACCCAAACCACATTAATCATCTTTAAGAATGCTCTTGTATTATTTCCATTGCTCGAAATATCAGGTTTTTCACATTGTTTGAATACACTCTCCTAAACCCCTTGCCTTGCATACAATAACCTTTCCTTTGATGCAAAATGTTTTTGAAACTGAATCTTAAAATTGCCTCTATGCCAACTAAATTTTTCAGAAAATTATTTCTTAAATAAAAACTGATTTTTTTCAACTTTTATGTCTAGGACTACTTTCCTCTATTTTTGGAATGTTTTCTCTAGCATTTGGGGGTTCATTAATCATTCATTCTTTCCCTCTCTTGTAGAGGACAGAACTGCTATTTTATTTGACTATCACCTTCTTTCACTCAGTAAGCCAGAGATGACTTGTAAGTTATCTAAGCAATCGTGATGAGCATTGTTCTCTCTTTAGTTTAGCCTGGAATACAATTCTAGACATTGAGCCTTATTGTGGAAAAGGCACCTAGGAAAAGTTGGCCTTGTTCTTAACAAATCAAGACAAAATCCATTTATTCTTTCTCAGGATATCACTGTAAAGATGTGATCTATGGGACTGAAGAGATTATATGGGTAGCTGACTTTATTACACAGTTACATGAAGATGGCACAAGATAAAGAAGGAAGGAATCCACATAGTTCTAATTTTTCATAACTGAAGTTGCTAAAATCAACCAACGCTAGGATTCCTTGCTTTTGACCTCTTGCTACTGGAGATAATACAGTTTCCTTATTGTATTAGTTAAAAATTGGTTGGTTCCAAGCAACTGAAAACTCAAGTATTAGGAGCTGAAACAGACAGGAATTAATTCATCTCAATTAAATAGAAGCCAGGAAGTTGTCCATTTAAAGTTAGTATTGTGGTTCAACTGTGTGGTTGTGAAGCACATATTTTCCATCTGTTCTTTCTGTCATCTTGTCATCTTCCTGCTCACTCATGGTTGCAAGATGACTGTGGTACTTCCTTGTATCACATATGTTCAAGGCATTGAAAGAAGTGAGAAGAGGAAAGGAGAAGACACTTTTTTTCTAGTCTGGTGTTTTTCCTTCTAAGAGAGACACCTTTCCCAAATTCCCATGTGTATCTCATTGGCTTCTGTCAGCTACAAGGAAGTTTGGAAAAGATGGTATTTGTAGTTGGTCACAAGCCACCGCAAATAAAATTGGGAGTTCTGTTTTTAAGAAACACAAAGGAGGGCCAGGCAACTAACAGGAATTACCTTGATGTTAAGCTGGTTGACACTGAAGTTTCTGTTACAAGTATATTAATTAATGTCTTCTTCATTCCGTCTAGCAAATCATACCTGTCTTTGAATGTTCAACTTACGTCCTATCTTTCCCTTTCCAGACCACGTCAGAGTATGTGTGCATGTGGGTTTTATGGCCCTTAACAGCAATTATAGTTATTACTACTCATTTGGAAATTCATTACTTCTTTATTGTGGACTGTCACTGTAACTGTTTACCATTGAATTACTATAAACGTTTCTATGTGGGCAGTATTACTACTGCCCAGAGTGGTTCCATATATACTTATTAAATCATAAATGATATGAGGAACTTTGTAATATTTCTTGATGATGATTATGTGGTCGGTATTTTCAAAATGGTTATTGCTTTTGATAAAATATTTTCTAAATTGTGATCTTTGTCATGATTCCTGGAATAGACTTAAAAGCATTACCAACAACATTTAAACAAATGGCATTTTCCCAGTGGTATGGTATTCAGCCATACAGTGGTATGGTTAGTGTAAATATTAATCAACTTACCTATATATTTTTTAAGAGCTAGCCCCATAATTATTTTTAATTCATCATATTCACATATTCACCTTATTTTGCTATGCCACAATGCATAATACAGGGATATTTAATACTTTCTCCTCAGCATGAAATGACTTCATAGAATGCTGCATTGAGAAGGATTTTGAAGACTGTGGGTTCAGTGGGAAAGAAGGCTCTGACTGGATAATGATATTTGGGGGTTTTGTTTGTCTTTAAAGATTTATTTATTTATTTATTTGACAGAGAAAGAGAGCACAAGCAGGGGGAGCGGCAGGCAGAGGGAGAGGGCGAAGCAGGCTCCTTGCTGAGCAGGGAGCCCGACATGGGGCTCGATCCCAGGACTCCAGGATCATGACCTGGGCTGAAAGCAGCCGCCAACTGAGCCACCCAGGCACCCCTGATATTTGTAACTGTTGTAAAAGGCAGCAGAGAATGCATGCATCCATACCCTGCACATCCCCAGCCTAGAGTACAAGGCACACTTAACACAGGCTTTAGGTAATAATTTTGTTCCATGTAAGAAAAGAGCACATTTTTTTACTCGTTTCTTCTAAAAAGAATCGATTTCATTTATTCTAAACCATGAATTTTTGCAACAGGATTTAGAGATGCAAAAGAAAAATTTATCTTTGTTTATAACCTACAGTAAAAATTTACTTATGAGGAATCACTGAGTTTATTTTCTGATAAGTATATAAAGTATATGTAATAACATCCACCATGACTGACAAATTTCAAGAGAGTCTAAAAATAATGAAATGAAAGAGGCAAACATTATTAATCCTAGAAGACTGAACAAATATGTTCTTTATGTCATTTAATTCTCAAAGTACTCTATAGAATGGATATGATTCTACCTAATATAAAGATGAGGAAATGAGTCCCCGAGAATTTAAATAACTGCTCAACACAGGAGGGTCAGCATCAAAATGAAGACTTCAGTTTAATAAACCAAAGGTCCATTTT